TACCGCTTGTAGTATTAAATTAGTATTTAGTATTAATTAAGTATTTAATTAGGCATGCACACTATTGGTAAAAATTTGACTTCATAACACGTTTATAACTATATAAATGTTTGTGAAAAAATTAAAATTGGCTGTATTAGGACACAGAGATTGAGAATCAAGTAACTCACCTTGAGCTTGCGGTACATCTGACGTCCCAGATGTCCTTTACAGGCGGCCTGGAGGTAAACCAGCCACCCAGTGACCTGCTGATCCCTCTGCTGCTCCAGGTATTGTAACACACCTCGCTTCATGAAAACCTGAGACCCAGCAGAGAAAAACATTGTTGAATCATTCATTGATCCCTGTTTTTACAGGCTGGTTTATTCCAAACATGCTCTCACCCTGCTGGCACCAACTACAATGCTCTTTTTATCTATGTCCAGCTCGACCAGCAGCTCCTCCACTGCCTAACAGTAAAAAAAATAATAATAAAGTGAGTTTATGATCTTTTTTCTAACAGAGAACTCTGGCGACTTGTTCTCCTACCTTTCTTTCGTCGTGACTGACAAATATGGAGGCATAACGCTTCATAATGGGAGGAGATAAAGCTTGAAAATAGCACCTGAAATCACTGAGCGTCATGTGTTCTGGATAACCTGCAAACAAAAAGAGAAGCTGGGAAATATGGGCTTTATAAGCATTCTAACAGCGGCATATTTGATTAGTTTAGAAGCTATTTTTTGTGTGAAATTTCTGTATGCGGAGCTCCTATTTTTCACTTCATCAATACAGTACGCAGCTATAACCCTGGGATTACTATTTGTGGAGTAAACATGCAGCCTTATGACCATACGCGAAAATCCGTCAACAGCTCTACTAATACAGATTCTGTATGGTTTTAGTTTCTCATGTGAATCATCATGCTGCATGAAGTTGGGACCTGGTCGTTTTAAATTACCCATAAACCTCAGCCGTACTCATTGAGGATCTAGGGTTTTGAGCAGGTACTGGCGGACAGTTCTTTGGGAAACAACCAAGCCACCTGAAAAGCATTTCAGATGTATTCATTTCTAACCGTAAAGAATCCCATGCTGGTTTTATTGCTCCTGCAGGAACAGTGCGACTTCCAGCAAGTCAGAGTGGGCTTTTTCGCCTAAACCAAGGCATACACTGCGACTTTTTTTGCCCTATTCGGGCCGACTTTTCAGTATTACGATAAATTTCCGATTTAAGCCTGATTGTGCGTCGTGTAGCGTACAGGGGGTTATGAGGGGGGATCAGCCTCACGACAACCTCCTCATCAGGAATCGTGAGGTCGGGAGACAATCAAACATGTCTGAAATTCAGCTGGCCGTTATATGGTGGTCGTGGGCAAATCGCTCAGTGATCTTCTTCTTCCTCTCAGGTGAAAACACAGAAGCATGCCGCCTTTTCTTTTTAGGGCTTTCAGCACAAAATTGCACAAATTGCCAAGGCAGCGCGTTTCACTGTAGTGAGCTTTATATTCCTCTTCTGCTGGTTTGGCTTTCGGATAGACGAGTCCAAGTAGCGCATCTCACTGCGGAGCTGAGTCCGACGTGGTTTTTAGACGTACAGTGTGAGCAGGTAGATCGCATCAGTGTCGGGTCGCACCGTGTGAGAACATACTGTACATCGTGAGCTGTGAACTCTCACTGTATGACCAAACCCTCAGTATTTCCAACCTTCGCATACCTAAAAAAAACATAAAAGCAGATTAAATCCGACAACCCACTCATTGTTCACGTTTCATGTAGCAGAGATCAGCAATGACTGTCCTTCCTGATCTCCTAAATGTGACATATTATCTCAGAATTATGACATCTTATCTTGTAATTTTGAGATAAGATGTCATAATATTGAGATTAGGGTCTAATTACGAGATGGGTATCTCGTAATTATGAGATCTTATCTTGTTATTGTGAGAAAAAGTCTCAGATACTGATACATTTTTTTTTTGGCACCCTTAGTACCAGAGGTACCGTACTACCTCATTGAAACAGCTGAAACACAGGTTGGATTCGGCCACGTCGAGGACTAAGGCCTCTGTACATGGGTTGGAGCTGGAAGCCCTAAAGTAATTACACACATTTCCCACCTCCCAGTCCAACATGGCCGCCTTTTAGTACAGAATTATTTGCTTAAACTCTTTCCCACTTCTGGTAGTTAATCTTCTAAATTCTCCTACTTACATAAATACACATGCGTCTATTCATGAACATGTTCATTTGGTGTTTAAATCCATTAGCAAAAATGCTAACTATTAGCTTGTTTGCTAACATAGAATGGCCTCCTCTTTGATAACAGCAGTTGATAAATCCATCTAATGAATGATTTGCAAGTTAAAATTATTACTTATATCTTAAATGTATGATTTTGTAAGTATAAAATATTACTTTAAATCTCATAATTATGACATAGCATGAAGCAACGTTTGTGAAGTGAAATACAAGGCCAGCAGAGGGAATACTTCAGAACCTGCAATGCAGCAATTGAGTTGATTCTTTCCCGCTATCATCGCAACCCCAAACCCTTTACAGGGGAACAGAAGACCTCGCCTAATCAGCCAGGCCAACAATTCCCTTTAACGCCCCTCCTTTCAGAGACAAAGACAGGTATGGGGCATTGCAGGCTAACAAAAAAGCCAAACGACCCCCATTTCAAAGGGGTGGACCCGTTCATCCATGTTTTTCAAGCAAAAACAAGGCTTTGTTTTTGTTTCACTGTATAAAGCCTCAAACTCAACGCTATTCCTGACATTTTTTATTAAAAAAGCTTCCTGGTTGGGAAGCGAAACATCTTCAAACTTAGAAACAAAGTCCAGTGTAAGACTGAGAACCTTCATCAGCATCCTTCAGATCTAAGGAAGCATCTGATAAAGTGCAAAACTTTTTACAAGGCTGGAGAGTGCACACTCTTCAACCGCATCAGATCTGCAGCTACAACAGCACCGATTCCCAGATACCAGGCATTGGTACCGTATCGGTTCAAATGTGAACGTGACCCAAGCCTAGATCCGAGTGATATTAGTTCACGGAACGTTTGTGTGAATCAAATCATAAAATTAGCTCTGAAACCTTTGAATTGCTGTCAGGCTTAAGAGAATTATGTGTGTTAAAGAAAGTATTTTTACTTAAAAACATCCATTACCAACAAACCCCCGTCCCCCACACACACACAGTCTACAAAAAAGCTTTTCCAACCAAGACATGTAGATTTCCTGATTTCAAGACTTTGTTGTCTTTTGCTGATAGAGTGTTCTAAACAATTTAAGCTAAAATTTGAGGTACGGCGGAGGCGGTGAGGGAGTGGAAAAACGCAAGGGGCAAGTTTGTGCGACAACGGAGGGACATGAGGGTAAAAAAAGAGCGGGGATCCAGCTGGAAGAAGGGTCCCAGCGTTCTCGCTCTTCTAGCTGGTCCAACTTCACGAGTCATTTTCCTCAATGGCGGTCATACAAACCAAACAAGCCAGGAAGGTACGAAACAGGAAATACGTATAGTGTACAGCTGATGTAGAATTGACCAATCAGAGGCCTCCTGTCTGCGGTCACCGCAATTTTGGAGAGGTGCAACAGAGTGTTTGCGGAAGGGGAGGGGGCATATCTGCGTCAAGTGTGACAAACGCAGACGACCTGGTTTCTGAGTATAAATCAGCCTTGAGCTTGGTTCTGCTGGAGGTTTCTTCCTATTAAAAGGGAGTTTTTCCTCTCCACTGTCACTACATGCATGCTNTTTCTGAGTATAAATCAGCCTTGAGCTTGGTTCTGCTGGAGGTTTCTTCCTATTAAAAGGGAGTTTTTCCTCTCCACTGTCACTACATGCATGCTATGAAATGCAAGCAACAGTCTTCTGATTTTTCTTTGGTTTTGGTTTTTGGCCTGGTCAAGAATTTGGCAACCAAAACGAAAACCGAAGAACGGGCCAAAACTAAAAAAATTGCCTTGCCAAAGAAAGCCTTGGTGGGGAAAACCCCCCACAACCCCCCCCCATGACCAAAAAAAACTACATGAATTATTATGTTACCAAAAAAACAACAGACCAACAATAACGAACAACACAACAAGAAACAAAAAAAAAAAAAAAGCAAAAAAAAAAAAAAACATCCGGACAAAAAAAAAAAAAAAAAAAAAACAACCAACAGAACCAGTCTACTGTTGCTACATGCTCATCCAGGAGGAGCGTGTCCTGCAAAGTTGATGACTGGAAGCAATCAGCTGGTTTTCCTTAGATAGAAACTTTGCACTAATCTCACTGGTATATTTGGGCCGTAAACGGCCTTATATGTTGTGCCATAAATAAACCGAATTGAATTATAAGTTTGGTCCATTGTTGATCCTGTTAACTGACGGTGTTGGTTAGAAAAGCCCTACATACAAACCTGTGCGGTAGAGCTGAAGGGCCGACAGGATCTGAGTGCTGTGCAGCTGAGCTCTAAGGGCTGGGACATCAAAGGTGCCGCCGTTTGGTTTTGCATCCACACACTGCAGGAACACCGGCCTGGCTCGACGGATCAGGTTCACCAGAGCATCCTATAGGCAAAGATCCAAACAATGAGATGGTATCATGCTTTCTGACAAGTCAACATTTTGGCAGTAATGTCAAACTTACGTAGAAGGATTAGGGCCACTGAATAACATAAAAAAAAGTTAACTTATCTTTGAATATAATTTCAGTTTAATATGGGAAAAAAGTCAGAATTTTGACTTTGACTTTAATCTCAGAATTCTAACTTTAATCTCAGAATTCTGACTGTATTCTGACAGCAAACGCTAAACATCAAGCCGTAGCCATGTCTGTTTTAGAGACTAGCTCTTCTGTTTTAATCATCTTCTGCTCTTCCATTAATGAAATAGCATCACCAGGGACCCCTCGGACACGTAAAAAGTCGCCTAATTCCTTCATTTTCCACTAATGTGTTACTGGCCCTCCAGAACAACTCACATCTTTGTCAGTGAGGCTGAGTGTTTCACATCTCTTCCTTCATGTTGCCCTTTAAGATTAAGATCCAAAATTCTGAGATTAAAATTAGAATTCTAATTTTAATCTCAGAATGCTGAGAAAAAAGTCAAAATTCTGAGATTAAAGTCAGAATTCTGAAATTAAAATTAAAATTGCTGATGAAGGTTCTCAGTCATCCAGGTCAAAGTCATTCCGTAAAAATTCAAAAAATATCCACTGGACTTGGTTTTCAAGATTTGAAGTCAGCATTCTGAGATTAAAATTAGAATTCTGAGATTAAAGTCAAAATTCTGAGATTAAAGTCAGCATTCTGAGATTAAAATTAGAATTCTGAGATTAAAGTCAGAATTCTGACCTTTTTCCCAGATCAAACTGAAATAAAATTTAAAATCAGTTACATTTTTTTATTGTTTCAGTGGCCCTAATCCTCTTCCGTATAAACTCACTGCTTGAAGCTTCACAGCTATACACTGGGAGTGTCTACGTATTGCTGCCATCCCACCACTGAAGGTTTTGCGGATGGTGCCGTTCCGCTGTAGAGCCCGCTGACTGCCGCCCTCCAACCCGCCCAGGCCTCGACACAGAGGGGGCAGGGAGATTCTTGGTGTAAACATAGTCTTCACCACACCTCTGAGAAGGCAGAGAGAAAATCCTCATCAAACGTGACAGAGCAGCAAGTGCTTTGATCCAAAATGATATATCTACTGTAAGCTGACTATATAGTGAGACGATAGACAAAGAGTAAAAATGACATATAGTCCCTAGCCCAGCCCTGTGCCTCCTTGGGTGCATAGCCAGTCATCTGGATACTCACAAAGAGACTCTGTAATTCCTATTGATGTTGGCCAGAAAATCCTTTAATCCAGCCATGGAAAAATGTACTTTCTGAAGTTATTGTATCAGAAAGTTTAAGGTACTGTCTGAATGGAAAGTGCTCCGCTTTTAAAAAAAGATTGGAACGTACTCTAGAATACTTCCAAATTTTAAAATTAAAAGACCAATAATGTGAATCCGAATAATGTATATGTATATATGTATATCAAGTTTATGCATAAATTGGTTGCTTTTGTCAAATGTTTGCTGTAATTTATGCCCATGCCCCTGGGTTTTTTTTTTCTGTATCACTGCTGTATATGTTTTGTCCTGTTGTTGTTTCTTTTCTTTTCTCTTCCTTGCTCTTTCTTTCTTTGTATAAATGTTCAAAATACCTAATAAGCATAATAAAAAAAGAGAAAAAAACGTGTAGATTACAGGATCAAATGTTTGCAGAACATCACCAATGAAAGTGACACAGAAGCAGCACTCGAGTTGAGGGGGGATGGCATCCTCCTTCTTCTAACAATCTTAAAAATCATCCCCTTTTTAAATGACCATCCCCCCCATACCCCTTTGACATTTTATTAATAAATGTGCAAAATTTCTGCTATATATTAAAAGAAAAGTCTGGTCATATTCAGAATTCAAACTTCTGAAAATACTTTATGTATCAAATTATCAAATACTGATCAATAAATGATCAGTGTTTTTGAGTAATTTTCATTTGAATGTGCTTTACTGGAGGCATCCATGTTAGTCAAAGAAGACTAACACGGTGCG